AACATAGGTTATCTCTGTTCGTTGACGATATATTGTTGTCAGTTACGAATCCGGGGGTTACTTTGCCAAACCTACTTGCGGTTTTGGATTTCTTTGCAGTTCTCTCAGGCCTCCATGTCAACCCTGCCAAATCTAAGGCTATGTCGATTACCCTCTCGCCATCAATGTTGGCGACTCTGAAACATTCGTTCCCTTTTCAATGGCTTTCGGCCCTGCCGTATTTAGGAATCAAGCTCACTCCAACTTATGACGGACTCTATCGGGCTAATTTCCCGCTGTCTTTAATGATTTGACAGAGATGTTGTCCTCCTGGTCCCACTATCCGCTTTCATGGTTCGGTAGAATTAATGCGATCCGCATGACTTATCTTCCCAAATTATTGTACGTGTTTCAAGTTCTACCAGTTCCTGTTCCCTCACATATATTGCGTATTAATCAATGAAAACTCCTGTCTTTCATTTGGGGTTCCTCTCGACCCAGAATTAGCAAACAAATCTTATTTGCCCATAAGACCGAGGGTGGGTTATCTGTCCCAAATCTTCAGGCTTACTATCTGGGGGCCAATATTGCCCCCTTAGCCCATCTTCATGCATCTCGCAATATTCCCTTGTGGGATACTATAGACTTGATGGATTCCCACCTGATACCCACTCTCTTCTTTGCCATGGCTTCCTCCTATTCATCACCCTTCATTCCTTAGTCCCACGTTGCCTTTGGGATTCTATTAAATATTCCGCTGGTCTCATTTCTGCCCACCTGCCGGTACTATGTTTGCTACATAATCCATTATTTCCCCCAGGTCATGACAATCCCGGACAGTTTTCTTGGTGGCTAGCCCATGGCTTCCACGATGTACAGTCAGGTCCATAAATATTGGGACATCGACACAATTCTAACATTTTTGGCTCTATACACCACCACAATGGATTTGAAATGAAATGAACAAGATGTGCTTTAACTGCAGACTGTCAGCTTTAATTTGAGGGTATTTACATCCAAAGCAGGTGAACGGTTGTAGGAATTACAACAGTTTGCATATGTGCCTCCTACTTGTTAAGGGACCAAAAGTAATGGGACAGAATAATAATCATAAATCAAACTTTCACTTTTAATACTTGGTTGCAAATCCTTTGCAGTCAATTACAGCCTGAAGTCTGGAACACATAGACATCACCAGACGCTGGGTTTCATCCCTGGTGATGCTCTGCCAGGCCTCTACTGCAACTGTCTTCAGTTCCTGCTTGTTCTTGGGGTATTTTCCCTTCAGTTTTGTCTTCAGCAAGTGAAATGCATGCTCAATCGGATTCAGGTCAGGTGATTGACTTGGCCATTGCATAACATTCCACTTCTTTCCCTTAAAAAACTCTTTACCCCTTTTGCAGTATGCATTGTCCATTGTGAAGCGGCGTCCAATGAGTTCTGAGCATTTGGCTGAATATGAGCAGATAAAATTGCCCGAAACACTTCAGAAGATCCTGCTGCTTTTGTCAGCAGTCACATCATCAATAAATACAAGAGAACCAGTTCCATTGGCCATACATCATGCTTCACTGATGAGGTGGTATGCTTAGGATCATGAGCAGTTCCTTTCCTTCTCCATACTCTTCTCTTCCCATCACTCTGGTACAAGTTGATATTGGTCTCATCTGTCCATAGGATGTTGTTCCAGAACTGTGAAGGCTTTTTTAGATGTCGTTTGGCAAACTCTAATCTGGCCTTCCTGTTTTTGAGGCTCACCAATGGTTTACATCTTGTGGTGAACCCTCTGTATTCACTCTGGTGAAGTCTTCTCTTGATTGTTGACTTTGACACACATACACCTACCTCCTGGAGAGTGTTCTTGATCTGGCCAACTGTTGTGAAGGGTGTTTTCTTCACCAGGGAAAGAATTCTTTGGTCATCTACCACAGTTTTTTTCCGTGGTCTTCCGGGTCTTTTGGTGTTTGCTGAGCTCATCAGTGCGTTTTTTCTTTTAAGAATGTTCCAAACAGTTGTTTTGGCCACGCCTAATGTTTTTGCTATCTCTCTGATGGGTTTGTTTTGTTTTTTCAGCCTAATGATGGCTGCTTCACTGATAGTGACAGCTCTTTGGATGTCATCTTGAGAGTTGACAGCAACAGATTCCAAATGCAAATAGCACACTTGAAATGAACTCTGGACCTTTTATCTGCTCATTGTAATTGGGATAATGAGGGAATAACACACACCTGGCCATAGAACAGCTGAGAAGCCAATTGTCCCATTGCTTTTGGTCCCTTAACAAATGGGAGGCACATATGCAAACTGTTGTAATTCCTACACCGTTCACCTGATTTGGATGTAAATACCCTCAAATTAAAACTGACTGTCTGCAGTTAAAGCACATCTTGTTCGTTTCATTTCAAATCCATTGTGGTGGTGTATAGAGCCAAAAATGTTTGAATTGTGTCAATGTCCCAATATTTATGGACCTGACTGTACATTACTTGCTCTCTCCCACTCGGATACTCCCCTTTGAAACTCTGCGTTCTTCTTATGATATCCCATTGCGGGAGCATTTTGGCTACCTTCAACTCCGCCACTTTATCAATACATTAATACAGGCGCATTCAGGACCCTACAGGTTGACCCCCTTTGAAAGTCAATGCAGACATAGATCCCATGCTCCGGGCTTAATCTCTCTGGTCTACTCCTCCATTATTTCTTCTAGAACGCCTCCAAACCATTATTATCATCAGCGTTGGCAGTCGGAACTCGGGGGCACTCTGGATCAGCAGGCTTGGTGGACCATGGCCCAAGCATTATCTAAATGTTCTAGGAATGTTATCATTCTAGAAAATGCCTATAAAGTTCTTTATAGATGGTATTACACGCCTGCTCGTCTGGCTCATTTTATCCCCACATACTCCCCGACTTGTTTTCGGGGTTGTCAACAAATAGGCACCATGGTCCATATTTGGTGGACTTGCCCCAAAATTTGCAGATTGTGGATCAGGGTTTATGCCCTTCTCTGCACTATGTTTCACACAGACATTAAGCGCAACCCGTATGAAGCGCTCTTATTTAAACCATTAGTGGGCCTACTTCATCCTGAATAGCAGCTGGCATCGCACCTATGGCTACCAAGCTGACGATCGCGAGGGCTTGGAAGACTTAAAGGGGATAATGAGCTGGTTGCTCGAAACATGTCAGGGGATCCACCCAAGCGACGCCACTTACTTATGAGAAGCCACTAACCACCAGGGAACCTATTCAGTAGACCTGGGAGCTGTTATGTGCTTGTCCTTGCAAGGTGGAGCGGTTTTTGGGAACGTGCTGTCGGGAGTTTTGATCTTCGCTGGACCCACCAGGGAAACTGAGATGACCCCAGAGTGAGACTTACCATCCTTGACGACCGGGTGCTGTTTCTACCGCTGATGGGGCCCTGATGTCCACCGATGATCCACTTTATCATACATACAACGCTCACTTTGTATGTCCCTGTGGTAAGCGCATATTTATACTAGATTATCTGAATATGCAAATCCAGATTTGGAGCGCACCAATTGCTGCGAATGTCACCTGGTGTATCCTATACCTCTTATATCAATTAACATTTATTCATGAATTTATCATTATGGGCTCTGCTGTACTTGACCTGACTACTTGATTATATGAGCCTCAACGTAAGGACTGCTATATGTTTTTATTACTATTTGGTTGATTTCTTTATTTTAAATCACAATATCATTCTTTTTATCATGTTCTAGCGCTGCATACCCTTTACATGTTATTTTATTTAATGGTGAGCATTGGGGCTCTTTTGACTGCACCTTAATTCTAGCACTGTAATCTGCCATAAACTCTGCACGGACATTTTTCCCTTTTACTCCCTAACTCAGTGCTGAAGATGAACTGCCATTAATCTCTAGCCCAACTGCAGTTCTTCTACTCCAGATACTCACTGTAATCTGGAACTGTGGGGTTAAACCATGACAATAGACCCCTACTAGTTTTTGGTTCCAGCAACACTGCCATTGTAAATTTTCAACAATGTTCATTCTACAAATCAGAGATATAGCTCCAACCATCCAACATTCCAGCTTTCTCCACTAAGCTAGCTGTTAAAGACTAATTTCACATTTTGGGAAAAATAATAAATCCATTTATTTTTGAAGAAAAACAATGTGCATTTATTATCTTTCTGCAAAGCATTGCAAAGTATTGGATCATAGGTGCAATGTCAGTCTCTTGCAGACAAGCCCTGTAGTTTTCAGACCATACCTTTTTACAGGCTGTCAGTTTGAAAGCTGCAGGGCAGCCTGTGTTTCTATAAATTCATATGCTATGTGGAAACAAACATTCAAACTAAATCTTGAGCCCCTTATAGAACAGTCTAAATCTACTTCTTCACCTGAATTGCTCTTTCTATCCCTGTGCTTGACTTACAGGATGACACCTTTGCAGATGACTCCTTGCTAGCCTTATTGGCCAGTGCTAAAGCCACTGTGGAAAAAGTTATCACAACCCTGTAACCCTAGTTTGATAAAAAAAAATTGATAATTTCAAAAAATCAATTGAAACAGTCTCTTCAAACCTGAAAAGTACAGAGCTTTAACAATGGGTAAGTTGTTTGGGGGATCAATGATTAGCTTCACAAAACAAAACATCAGCTTGAATTTTCCTCCCTTTATAGTAAACAAACTTGACAACCTATGAATTATTTGAACTAACCTGCTATTCATCAGCATTCCTGAACAATTAAATTAATAGGATCTTCCTAACCACTTCAATACCAGGCACTTTCACTCCTTCCTGCCCAGGTAAATTTTTAGCTTTCAGCGTTGTTGCACTTTGAATGGCAATTGCGCGGTCATGCAACACTGTACCTATATGAAAATGTTATATTTTTTTTAGACACAAAGAGCTTTCTTTTGGTGGCATTTAATCATTCCTGAATTTTAAAATTTTTGCTAAACAAATTCAATTTTTCTTAGTTTGTTATATAAATTTGCAAATAAGTAATTTTTTCTTCTTCACTGATGTGCACTGATGAGGCTGCACTGATGGGCACTGATAGGCTGCATCGATGGGCACTGATGAGGCTGCACTGATGAGGCTGCTCTGATGGGTACTGCTGAGCACCGATGAGGCTGCACTGATGGGTACTAATGAGGCTGCACTGATGGGCATTGATATACTGCACTAATGGGCATGTTATGCTGCACTGTTACTGCACTGATAGATGCTGATTGGCAGTGATGGGGCTGCACTGATAATCAGGGCACTGATGATCATTTCTGATTATCATCTAAATGTGTTCTGCCTGGATTGTGACACAGCTGTGATTGGATACAGCTGATCACATGGTAATAGGCCACTGTGATTGGTCCTTTATCTTGATCTGTGATCAGCTGTGATCCAGAATTTCTTAGCTGCAATCATTCAAAAATATAAATAGTTCATCACATTTTGCAAAAAAGAGAGATCCCATGTACAGAGAGGGGTCCCACAGACAGAGAGATCTACTGTTCATAAATACAGAGTTACAATACATGGAGAGATCCTCTATACAGAGAAATCTACTATGCATAGAGAAAGGGGGGGTCAGATACATGGAAATATCAGCTATACAGAGCCAATTCGTATACAGGGAGAGGGAAAACTCCTATACAGAGATCCGATATAAAACAGAGAAAAGAGAGAAAGGGCCGATATATGAAGAGATCTGATATATAGAGGAATCCCATATATAAAGAGAGATCTGATTAGATAGATCTGATATACAGAGTACTTGAGAGAGACGGGTGCTATGTGGCTATACCTGTGTCTCCTCTCCTCCCCCCCGCTCCATCAACAATATCATCCTATCAGCAGAGCAGGGAGCAGGAGGAGCTGGAGATCTTATCATATTAACAAGCGGGTGGTCACCCGCTTTTAAATATGATCCATATCTGCAGCTCCTTCTGCCCCCTGCTCTGCTGGTAGGATGACATTGTTGGTGGAGTGGGGGGCCGGGAGAGGAGACACAGTCTGAATCCTGCCTCTGCCCTGCCAAAGGTACGACTGTGCAGGGGAGGCAGAGAGTAAAAGGGAACACTGTGATTAGAGAGAAAAGGGGGGCATGACTGCAAGGGGCACTGTGATGTAAAGGGGCACTGTGATATAAAGGGAACTGCAGTGTACAGTGCCCCTTACTTCAGTGCGGAGGACCAACCGTGAATACCTTATTACCAACCGCCCCCCCAACACCCCCCCCCCCCAGTTGCTGGACAGATTAGCTGCTCAGTCTAAAATGCCCGGGCCTATTTTTTGCCCCAGTCCTGGCCTGATACAGTATGTAACTACACAGTGAAATACAATGAAAAATATCATTGTTTAGTTATTTACTATTGTATATCTCTAACCTGAAAAAGGTGCTACCTAGTGTACTCTAACTGATAACACACTGGGATGCTCTGTAAATCTAGACTAATCCAGAGCACTGCACCTCACCAAATATATCAAACTATATTGTGGCACATCCTAGCCTTTTATTTGATGTAAAGATAAAATACCCTACTTTACATTCCTGAAAACCCTTAAAACCTATACCACACAAATGCCCCACTCAGAACCCTCACTGATTAGTGTACAAAATGGTCTCATTCAACTTTGTCATGCATGAGCAGGGTCAATCTAAAAGAAATGGTGGCATTTCCAAAATTACTTCACTATATACTTTTCAAACATTACCACTAACAGGAAATCAGATCACAGCAGCAAAACAAAACAAAAAAAATTAAATTTGATTAGATTAGATTTGGCGGTGGCAGAGAGCAACAACAGCTACTTTTTTGAGTTAAGAATATATATTTGAATAGATTTTTTAAACTAGAGGTCAGCGTCACTTTATCTTCTTTGACCTAGAACTTTACAGCCTAGCAGAAATTACAAATACATTTGTGACTGGATTTACAGTACTAATTACTATATTGATTCTGATCTAGAGCAATATATTACACCTGAATAAATATACTGTATATGATCCATATGCACAAAGATCTTCTACCACTAGAAGTCACTTTCAACCTGTTTATTTACTCTTGCTAGCCTACCTGGCAAAGAGTTCAGAATAAACACCAATCGAATAGGCACTCTTTTCTGGGAAATCCTGGCTTTCACCATGCCTCCAGCAACAGAATATTTAAGGAGGGCTCAAAAATACACTCATTCAAAACTGCATGAGAAAAATATAAATTTTTAATCACTTTAGCAGCGGAAGATTTTACCCCCTTCATGACAGGCCATTATTTGCACTGGAAATTGCATGGTCATGCAGGGCTGTACCCAAACAAAATTTTGGTCATTTGTTTCACACTAATAGAATTTTCTTTTGGTGGTATTTGATCACCACTTGATTTTTTTTAGTTTTTTATTATATAAACTAAAAAAGAGTGAAAATGTTGAAAAAAACCTCACCGATATTTCTTCATAAGTTTAGGCCAAAATGTATTCTGCTACTTGTCCTAATAGGTGTATATTGATTTGTTTGTTTGAAAGTTACAGCATCTATGAACTATGGAATATATACTGGAATTTTGTTATACTGGAATTTTTTTTTTATACTACTAATGGGAGTGATCAGCGACTTATTGCAGGACTGTGATAGTGAGGTGGGGAATCTGACACTAATGGACACTGGGCAGGAACTGACTTACTTACACTGACATCTCCAGTGACACTAATACAGTGATCAGTGATAATACTATACACTGTCACTGTACTAATGACATTGGCTGGGCAAGGGTTAACATCTCAGGTAATCAAGGGGTTATATGTGTGCCTAACAAGTGTTAATTTATGTAAGGTGTGCTGCTTTCTACTAAATATCTCTTTGTTTATTTTCCCTGCTCTGCAGGGAGAATAAACAGAGGGATAATTCCCTCTGTACAGAGCCCAGTATTGATTGTCAATACAGGGCTCTGGGCTGTGATTGGATACAACCAATCAGCAGGTCCTGACCATGAATCATTGGCTGAGACCTGCTGTCAAATTCCCGCTGTGTACAATCATAGTGGGAGTCAGCAGGCGGGGGCATGCACATGCCCTGTACCTGCAAGAGGCCAGTGAGATACAGGTACATTCAGGGGCGGACTGACAACTCATGGGGCCCCCTGGGAAATAAGGGATCATGGGGCCCCTGTGTCCTTGCCCAAACTCAAAAAAGCCTATGAAAAAGGTACCAGGGGCATCTCATGGGGCCCCCTACTGACCCCGGGCCCTCGGGCAGTGTCCGAGTTTCCAAATGGTCAGTCCGCCCCTGGGTACGTTGCTGTGTCTGTATGGGTGCCCGTCCACAAGTGCTTAAACCCTGAAGTCTTCTCATTCTTACAATTGCCTTTATCCCATGCATCCTGAAATTGTTTCACCAACCTATTGGTTGAACTGTCCCTATCAAGTGTTACAGGAACCCTGTCTACCCAAACGAGCCATATCATGGACATATACTATTCTTACACTGGATTACATTTTCAAAATCCACAACTGATATTCTTAACTCCCTCAATACAGCATGGAGCACTATCAATCTATATTGAAATTGTGTTAAAATCTGACATGGACTATAAATACCTTCACACAGATTTAATTTTATGGGACTCACAATTCACCTGAATGCCTTAAATGTGGCCATGATCATGCAGATACACTATATACTTTCTGGCTTGCCCAAGTTAAAAATATTTCTAGAGAATATTTGCCCAATATACTACAAATCATTTGGTGAATTAATTTCTTTCAACATGAAATGGAAATTTGTGGTACCAGGGGTTTGCTAAAATCACTGCGGGTAGTGAAACATTATTATCCATCTTATCCTAAGTAGCAAAAAAGGCTAAATCTTTTTTGTGGAAACATTGATATTTGTCTTTCAAATTGACTGGCTGGCTGCTGCTTGACAATCCTTTTATGGATGCTTCTATGGAATGGTGTCCTATTGTATCCAGGGACGTTGCTAGGATTGTAAGAGACCCAAGGAAATCCTTAGGCACTGCAGCTAGAAGCAAGAAGCAGTGCTTGTAGCACACAACAATGAACGGCGGATGTGACAACAGTGAGAACGCAAATTTTTCAGGCAAGTTCTGGACATGTATAGTGCAGTGCAGGAATTATTAGTATGTAATGTACAAAGCAAATTATGCAATGTATAGTTCAGTATGCAGTGTGCATCAACGCTGTTCTGCTTCCAGAAGGAAAATTCAGCCTGCAATATTAATTTTGGCCATTCATGGAGCCCGTAATAAGGGATAGGGAAGAGGGAAAAGGGAAAGGGGAGGAAAACAACACCATTGGAGCAATGAGTCCCAACAGCCATACCCCTCCCTAAGCAGTGCCCAAAGGCACCTGATGGCTACCTATCCCCCATGGGGAAGCCAGAATAACAGTCATGGTTGCACATGAAAAGATACACGGTAAAACCACCAACCAATATTATAATGCACATTATTGGGGAAAAGCATTAAAGGGACATAATAACTAATGAACGCCTTGAAAATTAAGAAATACCAATTACAGGAAGGGCTTAAAGAGAGTTGGAAATTTAGTTGCTGCCAAATTATAAAACCACTTTATTTCCAATTGCAATATCAACTTATCAATGTCTCTCCTCCCCTTTCATGTGGGGGTATGTGCTCTAAGGCAATGAAATGGATCTTAGTAGATCATACATCAAAAAAGCTTATCATCGGGCCAATAGTCAAGATAGGCAACTTTTCATTCACAATAAAAAATCCAGACCCAACATACAAAATGTTAGGCTAATAATACATTATTCAGGTCAACATAGACAGATTCATCAAATTATGGATAAATACTGGCACTTGCTTGTGGCAGATGACAGTGTCCAAATATGTGAAAAGCTACATGGAAATTACTTAAAGAAGATCTCTATCTTTGAAGGACCAATTGGTTCAGAGTCATTATTCAATGAAACCTAGAATTAAAGCAAAAACCATGGGAACAGCCCTTCTTGGTAAGTTTAATTTTTGCAGATTTGTCACAAGAGCATGACAGATCACTTTACCAAATTATCTCACCCATAGTCCAAATTTTTTTTAGAATTGCCAGACAGCTAGGATAGTTTACTTTATGGGTTGCGATTGTGGGGCCCTCCACAAAGGAAAAACTAAGAGAGCATTTTTCCAGAGGATCCGCGACCATGTCTTGATTATCTCTAAGAAAACATTGGAAACACTGTTTAGCCGTCATGTGGGGCTGTACCATGGATTTAATTTATCAAAGATGCATTTCTCTGCCTTAGAGCACATATCCCCACATGAAAGGGGGGAGGGGACATTGACAAGTTGCTATTGCAATGTGAAACGAAGTGGATTTATAATTTGGCAGCAACAAAATTTCCGGGACTTAATGACTCTCTAAGTTTTAAGCCCTTCCTTAGTAAGTATGGCCCTTTAATGCTGTTCCCCAATAATATGCATTGTAATATGGATTTTCATGTGCAACCATAATTGTGGTATTTGTGAGGTTTCCTGAGGGGGCTGTTTGTTCCACTTGCCAAGATCGTTATTGCTTTTAATACAATAAGATTTCTCTTCACTTATGCTAATCTGACTAATTGCGCCCTGTTGTTTTTCTGGCTTCCTCTTGAGGGGATAGGTAGCCATCGGGTGCCTTTGGACGCTGCTTAGGAAGGGGTGTGACTGTTGGGGCTCACTTCTCCAATGGTGTTGTTTTTCCCCCCTCTCCCTTTTCCCTCTTCTCTCCCCCCCGCCCTTCCCGGGGATGGTGACATTAGGTGATTCCAGTTGTGGTCAAAATCATCAGAACTTAATCTCCTGGCTTTCCAATTGGATTGTGTCAGCCACCGCCTGGCGGTATCTCTAGCTGCCCACAGCGCGGGGTTCCCCAGGGCGCGGGGTCTAAGTCCCAGTCTGCTTGTTCACCAGGGCCCCTGATGGTGGGGATGGACTTGGAGCAGACTGAGACCAGGTCGCGACCCCTGAGTACGTCTGGCAGTGGTAGAGAGTACCGTCAGAGGTGTGCGGGCAATAGAGCCTGATGTGAAGAGGCTGGCAGGCCTGGCAGCAGGGACTGATCCGTGCGGGATGGATGGATGGACGGTCAGTGTGAGGTAAGGCGTAGTCAGGGCAGACCGGGTCGGCACTGTGCGGGCAGTGAGGTACCAGAGGAGCAGACAGAAAATGGTCAGGTCACGAGCCGGGTTCAGCAACTAACGGGCAGGTAGGTACCGGAGGAGCAGGCAGAAGGGTGGTCAGGTCAAGCCGGGGGTCAAGCAGGAGACAATCAGCAGGGTCAGGATCAAGCAGAGGTCGGCAACAGGGAAGCTTCAGTAACAGATCACAGGAACAGATAATAAGACCAATCGGCAATACACATACCTTCTGGCTCATTTAAATAGCGTGCCCTGCGCTGTCATTGGTGCCAGGCACGTGTCCGCGATCGCGAGTGTGCATGCGTGGCCGTTGCTGTTGCCGCGATCGCCCAGGTCCCGCCGCTGGCCGGCTAGAGCGCGCCGGTGTTCTGCGCATGCGCCGCTTGGCGTATCACTGCAAAACACTGGATCCCAGACATTGCCCCCTCCCTACGGGCAGCCACCGGATGCACAATTGCTCTCTCCTGTGTGGGTGATTACTGAAAAACTCCCGAATTAATCTAGAAGCATGGATGTTTTCAGCTGGTTCCCATAAATTTTCCTCCGGGCCGTAACATTTCCACTTAATGAGGAATTGAGTCTGGCCTCTCCTCTTCCTACAGTCCAGAATTGCTTCAACCTCAAATTCTTCCTCTTCATCAATATTTATGGCCTCCGGGGGTCTGGACCTCCGGTCCGGGAATGGATCCAGTGTTGCGGGTTTCAACAAAGATATGTGGAATCGGGTGTATCTTAAAGGATTCGGGAAGTATGAGCTCCTACGCCACCTCATTAATCTTTCGTTTCACCCTGAATGGACCCATGAATTTTTGTCCCAGTTTTCTTGATGGGCAAGACATCTTCAGATTCATCGTAGCTAGCCAGACCTGGTCCCCAGGGTGCAGAATGAGTTCACCTCTCCTCCTCTTGTCAAAGGCCCTTTTATTATCTTCCTGGGCCTTTGTGATAGCTTCTTGTAAGACTTTGTTGTTTGAATGAAAAAAACTTCAGCATATCCTGTGTAGCCGGCACTGGACTTTCTGGAATTGTGTCGGGTAGGAATGTGGGATGAAACCCGTAATTGGTGAAGAACGGAGACTGTCAGGTAGCAGAGTGATTTGCATTGTTGTATGCGAATTCAGCCAATGGCAGAAGAGTCAGCCAATCATCCTGAAGGAAGGAGGTGTAGCACCTGAGGTACTGCTCCAGAGTCTGGTTTGTGCGTTCCGTCTGCCCGTTGGTCTGTGGGTGATATGCTGATGATAAGGACAGTTTGATTCCCAGGGTCTCGCATAGTGCTCTCCAGAATTTCGAAGTAAACTGGACTCCCCTGTCAGACAATATTCTTTGGGACCCCATCAAGCCTCACCACTTCCCTCATGAAGATTTGTGCCGTTTCCGAGGCCAATGGCGTGTTTCTCAAAGGCAGGAAATGGGCCATTTTGGACAGGCGGTCCACAACCATAAAAATGGCAGTGTGATCTTGGGACAGTGGGTAGCTCCATGATGAAGTCGATGGAAATCATTTCCCATGGCCTATTAGGTATTGGTAAGGGTCGTAGCAGACCCCAGGCCTTGCTCCTGGTGGGCTTGTTCCTTTGACAGATCGCACAGGTCTTCACATATGCTTCACAATCTTTGGCCATGCTTGGCCACCAGAACACGCGTTGCAGCAGTTCCAAGGTCTTACGCACTCTGAAGTGGCCAGCCAGAGGGTGATCATGGCAATAGCCCAGGACTACAGTACGGGTTTCTTCATGATCCATCCCTCCTTCCACAAGAGTCCTTCTCTGTTCTGCAAGGAAACCCCGGTGGACTTGGCGTTCCCATGGATGCAGCCTGTAGTTTGGACCATAGCTCGGTCTGTAGGGCAAGGAACTTCCCTGCAGACAGGATGGTGTCCGGTTTGTGGGTCTCTTCAGGATCCTCAAACATGCGCGAGAGCGCGTCAGGTTTTGTGTTCTTTGATCCCGGCCTGTAGGTAATATGGAACACAAAACCTCGAGAAAAAGAGTGCCCATCTAGCCTGACGTGGCCCAAATAGCTTAGCCATCCTCAGATATTCCAGGTTTTTGTTATCTGCGAAGATCAAGATTGGGTGTGTGGCTCCTTCCAGTAGGTACCTCCACTCCTCCAATGCCGCCTTGATGGCCAGGAGTTCACG